TATTCTCAGAAATGATAGTGGAGGATATTGCATTTTGTAATAAGAAGGAAGTTCATTCCTAAATAAGACTCAGATAATTTAAACACTGGAGTATTTGAGAATAAAAATAAAAGAGGCAATTCAGTCTGAGGAAATACAAAGAAAAGCTGAGAACAATCTCTGCAATGGTCTACAGTTCCTTTAGCTACATACTCTTTCAAATTTTCAATTGGAGAAGATGAACAAGTTCTGGAGATAGATGATGGTGATATTGTACACAGTGTGAATATACTTATCGCCACAGGACTGTACACTTAAAATGGTAAATTCTGTTATATATATTTTACCTCTGCAAAAAATTATTTGAAACAATCACACTAAGATACATTAATGACAAGAAATAGCAAGACATATATATGGTGGGATGAACTAACAATTTTTCTCACGTAGTAGCACACAGGAATCAAAATGATCAATGGTTCTGGCAGACTGGCAAAGAACCCTTTCTTCCTGGGCAACAAAGAGAACAATGACTGACAGCTACTGATTCCAGTAATTAACACCAGATTTCATCCAAAGCAGGAAAGATGGAAATGCTTCTCAGTAATAACAGAACTGGTCTAGTGGGCTTCACATAACCTCTGCATCCCTCTAATTAAGAATGTGAGATGTCTAGGAAAAATAAATTATTTTCCTCTTGACTTGTGTTATTTACAAGTGTCTTAGAAAATGGAACCAGCTTGATCATTGGACTCAGTACAGAGGCTGCAGAGAATTGGAGCACTCACTTTTACCTTTATTCATACCTTTCCAGAGCCTAAGATAACTAGGTGGAAAAGAAAATAACTGAGCAGAGACGGCATCACTGCCCCTCCTGCAGAGGCCAGAGGCACTGTTCAATTGTGCAAAATACAAGTAAGATTCAAGAAGAAATATCTTTTCTTGTAGAGTGTTGGGGATAATGTCATCAGACTGAAAGGTCTGAAGAAGGGGCTGCATGATTTGGCATGCAGGCCCAATCTGGCCCTGTCTTTCTCTTGGACCTCATCTCTAACCACTCATGCCCCATACATATTCTTCTCAGGTATTCTCATACACTCCTTTACCTTTCCCTGTAATCACTCAGCTTGCCTTCTTGCTATTCCTCAACACACCAAATTTGCTCCCATTTGAGGGATCCTGCACCTTTTCATGCCCCATACATTTTCTTCTCAGGTATTCTCATACACTCCTTTACCTCATTCAGTTCTCTTTTCAAATGTCAGGTTCACAAAGTTTTCCCTGTTGATCTTATCTAATACTAGAGGTCCGATGCACGAGATTCATGCACTCAGCATGGGGGGGTCCCTCAGCCTGTCCTGCGCCCTCTCGCAGTCCAGGAGCCTTTGGGGGATGAATGACTGATGGCTTAGGCCCGCTCCCCACAGCCAGCAGTCGGACATCCTTAGCGCTTCCTTAGCACTGCCGCTACAGCCGCTGCACTCCCCAATCGTTAGCCCAGCTTTCGGCTGAACAGTGCTCCCCCTGTGGGAGTGCACTGACCCCAGCCTCTCCCCCATCATGCTTTATCCCATTACACTGTTTCATTTTTCTTCTTTCATAGACTAATCGCAATCTTACATAATTTGTTTACTGTCTGTCTTCTATCACTAGAATGTAAACTCACAAGACAGGGATAACATCTATTTTACTTAGCACAATATTACCAGTGCTTAAAACAAGGCCATACAAACACAAATATTTGTTGAAAAAATATGAAAAGAGAAAAGGGAGTGTAATGCTCAGGTCAGGTAATATGCAACAAGGCCACTTCTCTTCTGAAGAGACTGTCTCTAAGTGCCTCCTTGGGAGTCTTAAGAACTTAATACTCTATTAAATAGAATGATGTCTTTTATTCTTCCTGCAGTCAAAGGATTTGGTAAGGGGAAGGCTGAAAGGGCAGAATGGGCAAGAAATGTGAGTTTTATATAACAATTAGAGGCCCTGTGCACGAAATTCGTGCATGGGTGGGTCCTTAGGCCTGGCCCACAATCAAGGCCAATCGGGGCCTTCCGGCTGCCATCCGGAGCCTTCCTGCCTGTTGCCGGCTGCCAACTGGGGCCTTCCTGCTGGCTACCGGCCTAGGCCTTCCTGCCAGCTGCTGGCTGGGCCCTGCCGGCGGGAGGGGGGGTGCGAAGGTTGGTCAGCTGTGGAAGGTTGGCTGTAGGAGCGCACTGACCACCAAGGGGCAGCTCCTGCTTGAGCATCTGCCCCCTGGTGGTCAGTGCACATCATAGCAACTGGTCGTTCCAGTCATTCCGGTCACTCACACTTTTATATATATAGATATGCTTGAAAGGGACTGGTTCCTCTTTGGTCTACAACTCAGAATCACCTTGGCTTATCGGCAGCAGGTAAGAATTCCATAACCCACAAGTACAAAGACAACTACAAGTGCTAAAGACAAGAATAAATTCTTACTTTCCAACAAAAATTAGCAAATACTTTCCTTCAGGATCAGAAAAGGGTAGGGCCTTAATACACTCAGTTTATATATATGAGTTCAATTTTGTAAAAAAGAAAGATATACACGGATAAAAAAAAAAACATAAGCAAATTATTAAAGTGCTATTAACATTTATTAAAGTATTATTTAAAGTTATTTTTTTAAAAATATTTTTACTGATTTCAGAGAAGAGAGAAGGAGATATAGAAACATCAATGATGAAAAAGAATCATTGATTAGCTGCCTCCTGCACAGCCCCCTACTGGGGATTGAGCCAGCAACCTGGGCATGTGCCCTTGACGAGAATCGAACCTGGGACCCTTCAGTCCACAGACAGATGCTCTATCCATTGAGCCAAATTGGCTAGGACTATATTAAAGTATTTTTAAAGA